AAGTCCCAGTCTCTTTAGCCTCTCTTCATATGGGACCTGTTCCAAACCCCTGATCATTTTAGTTGCCCTCCCCTCTCCCACCCTCTCTCTTCCCCTCTCCCACCTCCTTTTCCCAGTCTCCCCGAGTTTTGTTCAATAAAGAGAGTTTCTATTTTTGAACACACATGTCCTTTATTTTGTACATCAGGAAGGAGGGCTAGGGAGGGGTAAGTGGAAGGAGGTGAGGGAGGAATGGGGTACGAGCCCCCGATGGGGAGGACTGGGGTGGCTCTGCGGGCTCCTCGGGGTGGAAGCTCTCCTGCAACCCCCCGATTGACCTCCCCCCGGATGGCAGCCTGTGGCAAGTGCAGCCGGGCTGATGGCCGAGTGCTGTGATGTGCCGAGTATGGGCATTCAGGGCACTCCAAGCTAGGACTGCTTTGCTGTCCCTCTTCGAGTTAGACAAATGAGCGGGGAACCCCTGAAAACTGCCTGTCCGAGATGGGGGTCGGGTCCCTTTAAGCACAGCCCTCGGCTAGCCTGAGACAGCAGCTCCACGCTCTAAGTCCTAATCTGATGCCCTGCCAGCACTGCTTCTGGCCATCCTTAACCTCGGTTCAGAGTCCACTCAATGTGGACATGCTAGTTCGAATGAGCAAAACGCTAATTCGAACTAGTTTTTAGGTCTAGATGCACTATTTCGAATTAGCTTAGTTCGAAATAGCTTAGTTCGAATTAACTAATTCGAATTAGTGCTGTAGTGTAGACATACCCTTAGATACTAATATTTATGCAGATTTCCACACAGCTAAATACATTTCAACTGTCTATAACCTATCTGGAGGATAAAACAGAACTAATGTCAAAGACTAACTGGCTGAGAAGCTGGCTGATAAAGGTAGCACAATAAACTGACACCCAATTCATGACAATCCAAGGAAGGCAATATTTAAGATTACCACCAGGGGAGAGCAGAACTAGAGAGGAACAGATCTGGTCTCATAACTGAAGAATTGTCAATGCAGCAAGAAAATAACCCCTAAATCTGAATGGCCAAACAACTACTGCTAAAGACCCAGCACTGTATATGAAGCATACTCCTCTGTTCTGCAAAGTGTTATGTAATCTCCATGAAGTGGTTTGGCAGCTCAGGACACCGTGAATGTAATAAGTCTGGCAGCTAGACACCAGAAGGAACAGGTGTTTTTAAAGAGCAGATCATGTTTATTTTGATTAGGAATTTGAGAATGAAATGCAGAAAGAACTTACTCGATGAGAAATGGGAAAAAAGCTTTGCTTTTCCTAGTTAAATTGTGCATGCACAATAAAAAAATCCTCTTTTCTAAAACTCAAATCTCAGAAAATCTACTATGCACAAAAAAAATTGAGAGAAAAATATTCAAGTTGAACCAGTCCATGTTTATTTTCAAGAAAGAAATAATGGTTAACTTTCACTATTTAAGAAACCCTAAAGTTTAGGGTTCCATTGCTGACAAAATTTCCTAGGAACTTTGTTATTTTGCTTTCTGAATGGTAGGAAAGGCATAAAAGGAGGTACTGGTAGGCCTCTGAACAATCTCATGATAATACCCATTCAAGGTTTATTTCATACTCTGTGAAAGACATTTAAAGAAGTAACTGATTGTTGTAATAGGTGCTTTTAGTTTTTAGTCTCCAGAGTAAAAGTCAAATTCAGCTACATGAGTCAGTTTTTCCTTCTTGGTCTCTGCCCAAGCAGTTGGACTGAAAATAAATAACCCCTCTTCCTTTCAGTGTTCTGTTATTGCACTAAGTGTAATATCTCCCAAGTATACTGTGGCTTTGTTCCTGGAACAAGGAAGGACTAAAAACGGGAACTGGCAACAAACAAAATCCATTTGTAAATATATTTTAGATAACTTCTAAGTAACAATTTAAGAATTCAACTGTCAGATGGCAAGGCTTCAATAAAAAAGAGTTACTTTAGGGAATGAAGTTTACAGATTGCCTTTAGAAAACTATCGTTTTTTACTATATATTTAAGAGATTTTGTCTGCCTGCCGTGTGTTAGTCTATCTATTCAAGAACTCCAACACAGTAAGAGCTAAAACCATCAGATTCGGTATACAGCTTCCATTTATCATAACTTAAAACAATGTAAGGGATTGATTGTGCCAGGAAAATGGGAAGTGCCTGGAATGGGATTGCTGCTCATAAAACCAAACAGAAAAGAGACAATCACCAGCCAGGTGAAAGGGGCTGGCTGGGAGCATGTGCCTCCCCTGCACCTGGGTCTATCCCAATCCCAATCCTCCCACCCCCCAGGCACCCCTGGGGTAGGGGTAGAGGGGCTGAAGCTCCCTCCTCCCAATTCATATGGGG